ACGCTATCAATACGCAATCCACATTCAGAATTGATCTATCCAACCGGAAACCAAATTGTTGGCCTTCCAGGTACAAATGCTGGACGAGACGGTCAGCGATGATACGCTCGAGAAACTTTACCGCCTCATCCAGCAGGCATATCGGCATATTTATCGAACACACGTCTTTTGAAGAAGCACTTACTTAATTTATGTGGAGGTGGGATAACCAACGCTTAGAGTTCTTCAGAAGTGAGATTAGCGCTAACAGTATGTTTATTAATGTTACCTTAACATTTTTCATTGTTGCCGCGCCAGTTCGTTTAGAAACAGTGACGCGGGGATGCCGGAACACCCTTATCAAAAGGATCGTAGTTTGGAATGGTAATATACACGGATCTCGTGCGGCCTTCTCGGGTCGTAAATCCAAGTCGAGAAAGCCGAGCCGAGCAACACTTGTAACAAGTACGTCCACGAGCGCGAAAGTGAAACGACCTCCGTCGTTTCGAAAGGCTTGCCCTTCCAAACTCAACGGCCAGCAAGATGCCAAGGCCCAGAGGAATTCGTGAAAAAGAAAACGAGAGCGCTGAGAGCTCTCTGTCAGGCTGGAAGCGACCGCGAGTCGCTCTTGTGCGAGGTCCCGCGGATGCTTGGAACGAGTGTTTAAAGTTCTCAAGGAAGCGATCACGTCGCTCCTGAAATTGCCAATGTCCTTGACAAACGCTTGGAAAAGGAAAGAGCTCTCAAAGCTCCAAAGAAAGCGGCCACGCCGCTCCTTTGATAACCAAGGTCCTCGACGGACGCTTGCAAAGAGAGAGTTCCCACCAGTTCCACACGGAGGCGGCCAAGCCCACTCCTGAATCGTGGCAACGCAAAGAACTCAAAGTTGAACAAGTAGATTCGAACCATTAGCTCTCAACCCAGCAGGGTATATCGGCGCCACCTTCAACTCGGCAGAGTGTACAGTGCGCGGTCGTTCGAATCTATACTACACGCCAAATCTGCACTGGGAAGTCTAGAGCAGGGTCGGTAAAGATGGGCGTTACAACAAGTCGCACAAACCTGACACCAGAGATTACCACAATCGGCGTTGGGCCATGCGATGACACGCGGCTCGCTGTCGCGCTCGGTTATATCACCCGGACGGCCGAATCTTAGCTGCGAGCAGCTGAATAATCGATGAACGCGCTGCGTAGCGACCAAGATCGGCACTAGTAGCTACGCGCGGGACGTCGGCGGAAGTACCGCGCTATTGTCTGCGAGATCGCCGATATCCGTCACCCACACCCGCGAGAAACCGGCGCCTGGGAGCCCGGCTGTCCGCCACGCAGCACGCGCCGTACAGAACAGTATCTAATATCAAATTTTAGTCTAATATTCTTTTTTTATATGCAAACATATATGAAGTTTAGATGAGAATCAATGTATACACGTAACATAAAAATCAATAGCTAATATTTATCGTAAATTTTCTATATCTATCTATCGTAAATTATCTACCCGTCTATCTACCTAATCTATCGCAAATTTTCTTTATTTCCCAAAATTATATAATATATAATTATACAGGAGAGTAAATAATTATACGTGCATATGTGCAGAACAAAAGTCAATAACCTTGGTGACAAATCACACATGATTATTATAATGTGTGTGTACATCACACACCACATATATACACTAGAAAGCAAGAGTTTCGACAGTTTTTTTTTTTCTAGTAACGTGGGTAATCCGTGTAGTTGTGAATTTGAGAATTACCGTTTAATCAAACTGCACAAAAAGAAAAAGATCGCGGCAGTCTCTCTCTCCCTTATGTAAATGATTCTCAAATTCACAACTTCACGGATTACCCATGTCACTAGAAAAAAAACTGTCGTAACTATTTTGCTTTCCAGTATACATACGTACTCATATATATACAGGGTGGACCATTTTAACCTTTAATGGAGAATAACTCGACCGGTGAGCGAAATAATGAAAAAAGTTTCATACAAAAGTTGTTGGACAAGAAGGGGGACGTATGACCATATCCTTTAATTTGACCTTGACTTTGACCTTAGGGGTTATTTGAAGGTCAAATAACATTTTTTAAATGGAATTGCCTATTTTCGACCCTGGATTTGGAAAGAGCGGGAAATTTTAGAATAGGATATGGTATGATCGATAAGATCAAATGTCATGTTTTGAGGTCATTTCAAAGTCAAAAGGAACTTGTACGTGTATTCATGCGAAAATCGTATCTGTATACGGGGATTTCTAAATTATCTTCTACACTTAGCATTACCCAGAGACAACGACGTGGACGTGGTAGAATTCTGCCTCTTTCGGGGTGCTTGTTTAGAGTGAGTCCCCTTGCCTCTCACTATGCATACTTTGCTATTGTTAATCTAGCTATTCAAAAGGTTTTCGAAAGTTGCACCGTTAGCATTTATGCAATAATTGAGCCTTCTTTGGAAATGGACCACTGTGCTGAGCAAGACATTTCGTGGAATCGCTTCACAAGCTCGTCTTATGCGATTTTCCATATCTTCTCTTGTTGTTGGTTCTTCTTTGAAAACAACTTCTTTCAAATAGCCCCAGAGATAAAAATCGAGTGACGTCAAATCAGGAGAACGAGGAGGCCATGCAATCAGACCCTCTCGACCAATCCATCGGTTCGGGTACCTTTCATCTAAAAACCTCCTGACTATACGTGCAAAGTGCGGTGGTGCACCATCCTGTTGGAAGAACATCCTTCGCCTGGTTTCCAAGTCTACGTTCTCCAACAAATGAGGCAATTGGTCTGTGAGCAAATCGGGGTACGTATTTGCATTCACAGTACGTTCGAAAAAGAATGGACCGACCAGTTAAGTATCCATTAACAATCCCGCACCAGACATTGAGGCTCCAGCGGTGTTGATTGTCAATCGCTCTATGCCAGTGCGGATTGGTATCGGACCAATAATGGCAATTATGCCGGTTCAACTCCCCTGTGTTCTTGAACGTCGCTTCATCGGAAAACATCACAAATCTAAAAAAATTAGGGTCCCGATCGATCTGCTGTAAGGCCCACCGGCAGAACTCGAGGCGTCGATCAAAATCGGCAGGTAATAATGTTTGGGTCAAAGTGATATGATAAGCATGGTACTTCCGATCCTTCAAAATCCGCAAGATTGTGGACTTCGGTATTCCTGTGGATACCTCCAGTCTACGGCTCGAAATATGAGGATCGAGATAGACCGATGCCAAAATAGTCAGCACTCGAACGTCATTCTCGTCATATTCGTGATGACGACGTTGACGTGTCATTTGCCCAGTACGTGCCCTCGTGGTCAAATTTCTGATCGTCACGTTACACGGATGTCGTCTCCTCGGAAAGCGCTGAGCGTAAAGTGCTGCGGCATTCACATGTGGCCGCTAGGAGCACGCAAAGAAAGACAATATGTCCACGTCGCTTCCGAGTAATGCTTACATTTTTCACTCGTAAGGAATTATTCGCTGAGAATACAAAATAGTGTTATCATTGTTATTATTATCATTATCCGCCCAAAAATAATATTGATAATAATAATTATAACAATAATTATTATAAAGCTAGTATAATAAATATTGTTCATTGAGATAAAACTCAATTATTATTTGATTTTGATCGACGCCTCGAGTTCTGCCGGTGGGCCTTACAGCAGATCGATCGGGACCCTAATTTTTTTAGATTTGTGATGTTTTCCGATGAAGCGACGTTCAAGAACACAGGGGAGTTGAACCGGCATAATTGCCATTATTGGTCCGATACCAATCCGCACTGGCATAGAGCGATTGACAATCAACACCGCTGGAGCCTCAATGTCTGGTGCGGGATTGTTAATGGATACTTAACTGGTCGGTCCATTCTTTTTCGAACGTACTGTGAATACGTACCTCGATTTGCTCACAGACCAATTGCCTCATTTGTTGGAGAACGTAGACTTGGAAACCAGGCGAAGGATGTTCTTCCAACAGGATGGTGCACCACCGCACTTTGCACGTATAGTCAGGAGGTTTTTAGATGAAAGGTACCCGAACCGATGGATTGGTCGAGAGGGTCCGATTGCATGGCCTCCTCGTTCTCCTGATTTGACGTCACTCGATTTTTATTTCTGGGGCTATTTGAAAGAAGTTGTTTTCAAAGAAGAACCAACAACAAGAGAAGATATGGAAAATCGCATAAGACGAGCTTGTGAAGTGATTCCACGAAATGTCTTGCTCAGCACAGTGGCCCATTTCCAAAGAAGGCTCAATTATTGCATAAATGCTAACGGTGCAACTTTCGAAAACCTTTTGAATAGCTAGATTAACAATAGCAAAGTATGCATAGTGAGAGGCAAGGGGACTCACTCTAAACAAGCACCCCGAAAGAGGCAGAATTCTACCACGTCCACGTCGTTGTCTCTGGGTAATGCTAAGTGTAGAAGATAATTTAGAAATCCCCGTATACAGATACGATTTTCGCATGAATACACGTATAAGTTCCTTTTGACTTTGAAATGACCTCAAAACATGACATTTGATCTTATCGATCATACCATATCCTATTCTAAAATTTCCCGCTCTTTCCAAATCCGGGGTCGAAAATAGGCAATTCCATTTAAAAAATGTTATTGGACCTTCAAATAACCCCTAAGGTCAAAGTCAAGGTCAAATTCAAGGATATGGTCATACGTCCCCCTTCTTGTCCAACAAATTTTGTATGAAACTTTTTTCATTATTTCGCTCACCGGTCGAGTTATTCTCCATTAAAGGTTAAAATGGTCCACCCTGTATATATATATATATATATGTATATGTATATATTGACGTGTCAAGAAAACACGTCGTGCATATTATGTATGTATACTGTTTCCAATGTCAAAATCATAAAATATACTCGATTACATCAACGTTATCGCTTCAACTTACACAGAAAGTTGCAGAAAAATCTTGTAGCAAGTATTATTTTCTTTTGTTATAGTTGACATCTGTTTCTAAAAAAATTGCTAGCCAGCCCTTAGTATATGTTACATATCTTCTAATTCTGCCTAGTCGAGCCTGCCTTGCTTCGCAAAAATAATTTTAGGAGCATTCTTGCATCCTTGCATTTTCATGCATTATTCAATATACAGCATATATATTATTTTGATGCAATTTCGATCTGATGAAGTTGACTGCCTTGAGGAATTATTGTCAGTTCGGTTATCTGAAAAGAGAAACGGAAGTTCAAAGGTGCGGTTTGGATACTATCATAGTGAAAACAAGCAATATTAAAACGTAGTCTTCCACCGACATTACAGTCTGCCTATCATGTAGCAATGTAGCATGAACTTTTTATTTTTTAGCAAAGTTGCAGTCCGCTGATATTACATATAGAGGGTCCCATTTTAAACACTGCGTTAAATCGAGAAATGCTTGAGACAGAAGTTGTTTGGCTTGAAGGGGGACATGAGACAGCGATAGCATTTTGTTTACCATATAGATGGCTCCACTTTCGAGATATTCACTGATCATCAATTTTCTTAAATGGAAATCCCAATTTTTTATTATATCATCTTTCCTACTTTTTCAATTAATTTGAACAACTTTTGTCTGAAACATTTTTTTATTTGCTTAATATATTTTGAGATATTTAAGAAAAACTTGGTAACTTTTCCAACATTTACCTTACGATATTTGACTAACTTATCGACCTTTGGAAATTTCAAAATTATTGAATTAATAAAAGTTAGGGCACTATTATAGTAGTATATTCTTAATAGTCAATAAAGTAAAAAAGTGTAATACTATTTCTTCTTTCGACGAATAGTTAGCAAGATATCGTAAGGTAAATGTTGGAAAAGTTACCAAGTTTTCCTTAAATATCTCAAAATATATTAAGCAAATAAAAAAATGCTTCAGAGAACAGTTCAGACAAATGCTATCGCTGTCTCATGATCCCCTTCAAGCCAAACAACTTTTGTCTCAAGCAGTTTTCGATGTAACGCAGTGCTTCTGAGTTATTTGAGTGGGTCCTTTAAAATGGGACACCCTATATGTATAGCGATGTGAGAACATTCGTATTAACGATATGTGCATAAGTTAACGATTGAGTTTAACAAGTCTCGTTACATCGACATTTATTTTCAATCGAAAAATACTATTAAATAATACGGATCGCAGACATTTCGGTTTATACGAAAGTGAACCGAGTCAACGAAACGGCTTTAGACGAAACGCAGAGCGCAGAAAAGAGAAAAATATGTTTGTCCCAACCAGTAATAATTCACGACCGACAATTACTTTCAATGTTATAATATAGCAATTGTAACTTGCAACTTGAAGCTTCTGATCCTTCGTTACAGCCGACGTCTATTCTGTCGATCGATCTAGATCAGTGATTTTCAACCGGTGTGCCGCGGCACACTGGTGTAGCGTGAGAGAGAATTTAAGATGTGCCGCGAAAAATTTTTAAGAATTTTACTTATCTTTTTATTACAAATTATAACAAATTGGGTTAATATTTAGAAGTACACAGTCAGCTCCGATTTTAATGAGACTAGGCTCATTCGACGCGTTTTTGCACGAGAAACAACTTTTTCCTGTGGCAAAATCGTCGCTCAGTTCCGCGAAGCGAGATATGAAGCGTTAAAGCAGATCATAATTCAGGTTAGGAAAGCTGTTATATCGACGAACTATCGGCGACATAAACATGCCTCGTAACTAACATAAACTTCCCGAGTAATATGCAAAAAGTTTTAGTCCGTGCTCACTGTTCGTTAAAAAGTTATTAACAAATGAAGTTAGTGATAAGAGTTTGCACCGAGCATGTGTACACACACACACACCGAAGGGGACGTGCGGGGGGGCCTTCGACCCCCCACCCGCCCCCCCCCCCCCTCGGTGTGTATGTGTGTGTGTGTGTGTGTGTGTATACATGCTCGGTGCAAACTCTTATCACTAACTTCATTTGTTAATAACTTTTTAACGAACAGTGAGCACAGACTGAAGCTTTTTGCATATTACTCGGGAAGTTTATGTTAGTTACGAGGCATATTTATGTCGTGTTAAGAAATTACTATTATTGACGGGAATAATGCACGAATACACGCACTTCTCTAGGCGACGAATGTATTACTGAGCAACGATATCACAAATCGGTTTAGATATGTCAACATCAAGGTCACGGAACACTCGAAATTAGTTACGAAGCATGTTTATGTCGCCAAAGTTCGTCGATATAACAGCTTTCCTAACCTGAATTATGATCTGCTTTAACGCTTCATATCTCGCTTCGCGGAACTGAGTGACGATTTTACCACAGGAAAAAGTTGTTTCTCGTGCAAAAACACGTCGAATGAGCCTAGTCTCATTAAAATCGGAGCTGACTGTGTACTTCTAAATATTTACCACAAATTGTTTTGTTTTATTTTTGGCTGTGATAGTGCATTCTGTTAATTATGTTAATAAATAAGTGAAAAAGAGTATATTCTTTTTTATACTCTTTGTTTGATCATCATGATTTTTTAAGTATGCCGCGGAAGTTTGATTATAAATTCAAGTGTGCCGTGAGATAAGAAAAAAGTTGAGAAACACTGATCTAGATGAATGTTGCGATAACGAGTGATCGATTAATTTTGCTGTTTGATGTAAGAACCGCCAATGCCAATTTAATGCCAATCCCTGTACTTAACATCGTAATGCATCGATTTGCAACTTTAATGAACATATAAAAATACTGATACATTCAACCCCTCAACAGATTTCTACAACAAAATATCAATTATTTGAGTGCTCAAATGCTCTCAACATTCATATTGCACGTCTTCACGTTATACGTGCGCGCATGTTTAACGATTTATTCGTCAGTATGCAGATGCTTACATATGTGTGCTGCCCCATGTGCAAACATGTCTTCTCAAATTAAGAAAATCGTAAAAGTCGTATAATTATATTTAAATAGTCGTACCTCCACGTTGGACGGCGCACTCAGTACGTAGATCACCGCATCAGCGATATCCTGGCCCTGCAGACTATTACTTCTCAGCATTTCTGGCGTGACACCAAAGTCCCTTACCATATCTGTATCCACGATGCCGGGGCTAATGCTCTGTTCCCCAAAGTTTCATCATTAATCGTTTTGATAAGTCGTATGATTTTATCCTTTTTTCCTTTTCTTTTTCATTACGAATACTTTGATCATCGCTTCGATCGAGACGAAAATTCTAATTTGATATCAGCCGTCGACGCCGAAACAAAATTATAACCCCGCCTAATGTATTGGGTGAGTGCAAAAGTTCGTGCGGAGTTTGTGAGTAAAAGTCACACAGTGATTAGACAAACAAAAATCTTTATTCAATCAATGATATATTCTCCATCGTTTTCTATAATCTTTTCCCAACGTTCTGGCAGCATACGGATGCCTCGATTATAAAAACTGCGCGGTTTAGATTCGAAGAACGAAGAGATGCCGTTTTTTAAGGCCTCCAAAGAGTCAAAGTTTTTTCCATTTAAATAATTTTGCAATGACCGGAACAAGTGATAGTCAGATGGTGCGATATCAGGAGAATACGGTGGATGCGTTAAGACATCCCATTTCAGGCTCTTCAGTTTGCGCAGCGTCTTTTTCGAAACGTGTGGTCTGGCGTTGTCGTGATGAAAGACGACTCCCTTGCGATTTGACAAAATCGGACGTTTCTCTTTTATTTCTCGATTCAGATTGGTTAATTGGCGACAGTACTTGTCCGAATCAATCGTTTCGCCAGCGGGGAGAAGCTCGAAATAGATTATGCCCTTGCAATCCCACCAAACAGAGAGCATCACCTTCATCGGGTGCAAACTGGCCTTTGGCATTGCGTCACCATGCTCACCTGATTGTTTTCATGTCCGTTTGCGCTGAACATTGTTATAGAGGACCCATTTCTCATCGCCCGTCACTAGTCGATCCAAAAAGGACTCGTTATTGAGCCGCCCGAGTAAAGAAACGGCTGCAGAAATTCGCTTGATTTTGTTCTTCTCGGTCAGCAAATGGGGCACCCATATATCGAGCTTCAAATCGAATCCCATATTTTTTAAACGCCGAAAAGCGGTTGATCGGTCAACGTTTAGTGCTGTAGCAACTTCTTCTGTTGAAATTCGCGGATTATTGAGCACTAAAGTACGCAAAACATCGTCATCAATGTCAGAAGGTCGACCAGAGCGTGGCTCGTCTTCAAGGTTAAATTCTCCGCGCCGAAATTTAGCAAACCATTTTTCCACAGTTCGTTTAGCTGGTGCTTCATCCTGATAAACATCCTGAATGTTTTTTACGGCTGCGGCAACGTTTATTCCCTTCCGAAACTCGTAAAGCATAACATGCCGTAAATGCACCTTATCGATACTCATTTTTAAAGTGATATTTCTCGAAGCAGTTTGTATGAAAACAAATGATTTTTTTTTTAATAACAGCTGAAGACGTCACCTTTCCAACGTTATATAATATGTAGATGGAAGTATTAATGACAACACTTTACGACGCTTATAACTCCATCTATTGAAACTCCGCACGAACTTTTGCACTCACCCAATACAATCGCAAGAAACTGTAATTTTATTTATTTGATTGAGAGAATAAAAAAAGATCCGATACGATTTACTGTTTTTCTCGATGATAAATTAGTCGCCTCCCACGATAAGCATATGAACGTTGCCGTAATATTGGCACCGAAACAACGATAACGCTTCATTGTTTCACTGTCTCACTGTCTCACTGTGAATGCAACAAGGGTAAATTTGATCCGACGGTCGGAGCGATCTCTTTGGCTGACTCGATACTGACACTTGGGATACTTTGTCCTCTTTCGACGGATCGATCCGATTTGCAATAAGTTTTATTTATCAAGTATTTTATTCAGTATATTTGGCGCTTTACGTACCGTTACTTTTATGTCGAGCTTTGCAGCGATCATTTCATGGCGCAAACTATGTGACATACCGGTGACGGCGTATTTACTGGCGGAGTACAGACTATTCGACATAACCATTGCTTCCCCGTAGTGACCCACGATGCTGTGAATTAAATCATAGCAGTAATATCAGCAATTGTCGATCTTATGATCTAAATCTGTGTGTGTGTGTGTGTGTGTGTCTTCATGTACGCATTCACTTGCTGAGATAATGGTCACACATCTCTGAACGAACGGAAGATAGATCGAAGATTGAGAATAAAGTCGCTATTGATTGTCTCTCTCGACATACTCGATTCCCCGTGTCTACTTTGCGAGTTATTAATAACTCGCAATATCCGCTTTTTGGTGGTCGATCTATTACGTACATGTTGTACTCGCCAAATAAATAATTTTACACACGACATCTTACGATTTGTAATTGTGCGACTGTGCTGCTTCTTCTATGGTAGTCAAGATACACGTATACGTAAATACCGTATGATACGTGTGAAGGTCAATTACGGCAACGGATGTGCCATGTGTAATATGTCGCAATTTCATCTAATTGTTAAGTGAGTCAAGTTGTCGTCGGATGACACGTGTTGCGTAATATCCGACCGCTATGTTCTAACGTGTTCTACGATTAACATACAAATTGGTTTTAAAATAGACCTATTTTTGCGTACTTCACTTCCACGTACCTGTTCATATTGATGATATGACCGCGGGTTTTACGTTTCTTGATGGAACGCGACATCTCCCGCGAACAAATCGCCATCGCGATCACGTTCACTTCCATGATCGCCCGATATTTCTCTGTTGATCCGTCTATTAACAAATCAATGACGAACGATGTAACTGTTGAATATATGTACTCCATACTCGGCTCGCACTACATCAGCTGGAAACTTTTATCAATTCTCGCAATTCTTTGCATATCTAAGATAGGAAGTAAGATTGAGAAAGAACGCCTGTGTCTCCCAAGGTTTCTTTCCCTTCCAAAAGCAACTTTTTAACGATGCTATTTCTCCTTATTGACAACAATAACGCGATGTTTACACATATTTCGAATAACGATAACAGACACGGAATTGTTACTTTATTACTTCAAGAAAAGAAGAAGCAAGCAAAGAGACAGCCTGAAAGAAAGTTATTAGTGAGAAAGAAACTAAGAAGAAAAGAAGAAAGAAAAAAATCTCGTTACTTTTTTTTTTTAACGACGATTGAGCTAAACGATTGAGTTACTCGAAAGATATTATTATCCCAATTCTACTCTTTACTCTTCGAATCTCGCGTTAATGAGTACATATATCCGGTGAGCTTCTATCCGGTGGTCAAATTTATAATGACCGAGATGCGGATTAATAGTGAATAAAGATAAATTCAAGCCTATAATCGTACCTATAATCGATTCGTTCGAAAGAGTACCGGCGTTGTTGACCAGTACATCAACACCGCCAAATTTATCGTCCGCCCATTTGAATACCCGAAGGATATCCTCTTCTTTGCATACGTCGCACATCATCGGATATATCTCGGTCTTGTGCTCGCGTTTGATGCGCGCCGCCAATTCCTCCAATTTTTCCAGCCGCCTCGCGACAGCGATCACCCTCATGCCCTTCTGCGCGAGCATTTTCGTAACCTGCGCGCCGATTCCGACGCTTGCCCCGGTGACGAGCGCGACTTTGCTCACCCAGCGATCCATCGCGTCCAAGTTCCTGTGCCAACACTGCCGCGCCAACACTGTCTCGTAATTTGCTGCGAACAATATAGCGTGTGTGCTACGTCTTCCCTCTTTATATAGCCGTATTACCCGACGCCCTCCAATCGTCCGACTCTCGGCCGATTCAGAGTAATTCCTCCGAATATTCAGTAGTCCCCTGTCCATACTTTTGCATGAGGTAATAATCACGCATAAACATACATGTGGAAATTGATAACGCTAATGTAAGACGACTTAATTATCACGTATGCAAAATACGTGCGTCAAATCTCGTACATTCGACACTTCACTTCACCAGCAGACATTACATTTCATGTGACAAACAAAGTGACGCACTAACCGAATAAATAAGACGCATCGAGCACATTTCTGCGTATATATTTATTATAGATTCCTCGTCAATTAACTTTCAACTTTGTCGAACAATTCTCGTCATAAAAAGTATCACTTTGCAGAAATCACGCGTAAACAGCGTGAAAGCACTATCTTTCGCGATGTTCTTATCGGGCGAAACCCGAGCCTTACTTCGTAAGACCATAATAATTAAGGTCACTTTCCCTCGATTCTATACCACGCGCATTTTGTACGCTGCATTCTGACTCATATTCTAAACTCTCTTTTATTGTCTCAAAGTGACCTCATAAGCCACCTGATTGGCTGTAAGCCACTTTTAATAATGAAGAAGAGCTCAGAATATGAGCCTAAGGATGTTGAATTTTCAACGAGGCGACAGTATCTTATCCACTGTTTAGTAATCGCGATATTTACAATGTAAATAGTACGTTTGCTTCTATAAATATCCTCATTTTCATCTAAGGCTCCAAGCTTATTAACCGTTTGAGTCCCAGGGGGTATTGAAAAAACACTGTCGAAGAATCCCAAACAGCGCAACCGCGCTTTCTATAAATGAGTATGAAAAGACCCAAGCAGCGCGATAGCGCTTGTTTTATTTTAGGTCGAGAAATATCAAGCAGCGCTTTGTTTATTTTACATCGATGAATCCCAATCGGACCAATACCGCTTCTTGTATTTGTTAGGTAACGCGATTCTCGTCTTTTTCTCATCGCTCTGTCACATTTATTGTAGTTTGCAAAGCGATCGGACGTATTCTTGCGTAAATGTTTCTCATTGTTAATAATTGTGTGTTTCAAAATGATTAGACGAAGCAACGGAGCAACGAAGCAAAAGGAATCCATCCAACATGTTTTGATAAACACCGATGTTACAAATTATAATTGTTACTCTCCATTTAAATTATTTGTTCATAACACAAAAATATTGTTAATTTGTAATTCGTTATTTTATAAAATACATCTGTATTATTACATATGCGTACTGTAAATTTATAAATATTTCAAGTTTTGTTCGATAAAAATTATTGAGAAGATAACAATGAAATAAAAATTTTTATTTTGTAATGTATTATTGCATTATTATAGTATTATTCTACCTATTATAAAATGTACTATTTACATTAAAAGGATCGGTGTGATATACTTGCTTCAGTAAATCTGAGCGCGCGACTTCGACAATCGGTAACGCACCGTCAGTTATCCACAATGATCGAAATGTACTGGGTTTTCTCGACATAAAATCTGAACAGCGCGATCGCGCTGCTTGGGACTCAAACGGTTAAAATCAGAAGGAAATCAAAGGGAACGTTGATGTTGATTCCTCCATGAGAGAGAGAGAGAGAGAGAGAGAGAGAGAGAGAGAGAGAGAGAGAGAGAGAGAGAGAGTCGAGAAGGATAACATTAACATTTAGGTACGCAGTGACGAGTAGAGTAGAATAAAAGCCACAACAACAATGTGCAAGATATAATTTCGTTTCATTTATTTCATTTCATTTTATTTTATCTCACTTTTCAACAAACTTCTACGATAGAAATAGAATAGATAGGATAGACAGAGCGTTATTATACCTTTTATTCAATCAATACTGAAAATAGTTTATCCTGCGACACTAGCGTACGGACATTTATGGAGAAACTCGAAATCTTGTTTTAACCTAGACCGTAAGATATTTCGAATTTCCCCCAAGAATCCTTGTACTACGCTTTCTATTGGTCTGTTCTTTTCAGCTGCACTACTACACGCACCAGTGTAACAGTGCAGCTGAGAAAAGAGTGACAGACCAAGAGTGGCATGCTCGTTTGAATTCGTTGCTCTGACTAGTTTTGTTACATTCAGTGAACATTTATGGAATATTAATATAATATTTCTACCGACGATTTTTATATTTTAAGTAGATTTATATTTACTATTCTACAAAATAAAAATATTTTATTAACATTTATATATGATTTCGTTAAGAAGTTTCTTGTAACAGTATATTGGACGCAGCATTGAATATTTATAGAATATTGTGTGTTATCTGGGTATGAATATCACTAGAATATTACGATAAATGAAATTCCAAGATTTGGTCACAATGTCATCATCTTTCTTACATATTACTTATATTTGTTTATTCCCTATTGTTAACACAATTGTAACGATATAGTCAAGCGATATAAATATTTCAGAAACTAAAGTGATTATTTTAAAGTGTTTATATTTATAATGCAGCATATATATATATTTTTGCCATTTCTGTCATTTTTGTGTCATTTATTGTCAGTGACGTTTAAGTGACAAATAAAGTCTGTTTGCGACTCCGCTCAAAAATGAGCGAAGATACGCGGATGCCGGAACACCCTTATCAGAAGAATCGGAGTCAAGGACGATATTAGACTCAAGTCTCGTACGGCCTATTCGGGTCGTAAATCCGAACCGAGAAACCCGAGAAACACTCGTGACAGATACGTCGAATACACGAGCGTAAGAATGAAACGACCTCCGTCGTTTCAGATGGCCTGCCCTTCCGGACTAAACGGCCTGCAATCTGCCACGTTCCCGAGAAACGTGGAGATGCACACGAGAACGCGCTGAGCTCGTGTCACGCGGGAGGCAACTAAGTTGCTCCTGGGCGACTAGCCAAGGTCTTGCGGACGCTTGGACCGAGCGCTCAGAGTTCTCGCAGAAGCGACCACGTTGCTCTTGAAATCACCAAGATCCTCGATGGAAAGAGAGTTCGCAAAACTCACAAGGAGACGACAACGCCGTTCCTAACAGCAGAGGTCCTCGACGGACGCTCGTAAAGAGAGAGTCACCCGTTCCACACGGAGGCGATCGAGATCGTGGCAACGCAGTTAACTCAAAGAGAAATAGTCGATTCTCACTATATAGAGCCTCAAAAACCCAGCAGGGTATATCAGCACCGCAGTCAACTCAGCAGAGTGTAGAGTACGTTGGTTTGAATCTGTACTACGCGCGAAATACGGTCCCAGGAAAGCCTAGAGCAGGTCGATAAAGACGGGCGCTACAACAAGTCGCACGGACCAGCCACCAGAGATTGCCACAATCGGCGTTGGGCCATGCGAAGGCTAAGAGCCGACCGTTTAGCGGAGTATATACCCGGCCGGCGGATTCTTGCCCGCGGGTTGCGGAGGGTGGCGCGCCTCGTAGCGACCACGGCTGGATCTACTCGCCAGGCGAGGGCGATCGACGGGACGGCCGCATGCTTGCATGCGAGAGACCGGAGCGTTGCGTCGACTGCGAGAAAGCCGGCGCCGGGAACCCTTGCCATCCGCCACGCAGGACCGGCGGGATCCGCTTGCTATTCTGGCGGCCCACGCATTCCTGAACAAAGTCATATTGACATCATTATGATATCATTATGACTTCTACCAGGTGTATGCATAAGTGTTTTCCGGTTTAACTAAGAGATGGCGCCAGCGAAAAGTACGCAGCGTATTAATTTCACACATACGTCATTTTGTTCGTCTGACATTAAACTACAAACACACACAAGTTGAGTCCGCCAAAAACTAGCGTCTTTGTTTTATCGTTCAGTGATCATGTCGAGTTTTGTGCCTGAAAAAGAACATTTGCGGCACGCATTGCTTTTCTTATTTAATCAAAAGAAAAAGGCTGCTGAAAGTCAACGTTTGCTGGTAGAAACATATGGTGAACACGCTCCATCGATTAGAACATGTGAGACATGGTTTCGACAATTTAAAAGTGGTGATTTTAATGTGAAAGACAGTGAGCGCTCTGGTAGACCACAAAAATGCGAAAACGAGCAATTGCAGTAGTTATTGGATTGATGACCCAACTCTAACTCAACGGCAATTAGCAGAAGCATTACATGTGTCACAAGAAACAATCAGCAGACGTTTACGAGCAATGGGAAAGATCAATAAACTCGGTAAATGGATCCCACACGATTTGAATGAACGTCAAATGGAAAATCGCAAAGTCACTTGTGAAGTGCTGCTTCAACGCCACGAAAGGAAATCATTTTTTCATCGAATTGTGACGGGTGACGAAAAATGGATTTATTTTGAAAACCCGAAGCGGAAAAAATCGTGGCTTTCACCTGGCGAAGCCGGTCCTTCAACACCAAGGCCAAATCGCTTCGGCAAGAAGACCATGCTCTGTGTCTGGTGGGACCAGAGCGGTATTGTGTATTATGAACTCTTGAAGCCCGGTGAAACCGTTAATACACAACGCTATCGCCAACAAATGATTAATTTAAATCACGCATTAATCGAAAGACGACCGGAATGGGCCAGAAGACATGGCAAAGTGATTTTGTTACACGACAATGCGCCGTCTCACACAGCAAAACCAGTGAAAGAAACCTTGAAATCGCTTGGATGGGACATCCTTGGCGCCAAGTCTGGCGAATACGGCACCCGCCGTATTCGCCAGACTTGGCGCCATCTGACTATCATCTCTTCGCATCAATGGGGCACGCGCTCGTAGAGCAGCACTTCAGCAATTTCGAGGAAGTTGGAAAATGGCTCGACGAATGGTTTGCCGCAAAAGACAAGCAGTTTTTCTGGCATGGTATTCATTCAAGTTACCTGAAAGATGGGCGAAATGTGTAGAAGCCAATGGCCAATATTTTGAATAAAACAAAAATTAATTTCCCTTGAAAATTACGTGTTTTTTGTATCAAAAGACCAGAAAAAACTTATGCATACACCTGGTATGTTCTACCTGGGAAAGTGATCATGAAGAATTTTTTAAATTTACCAAAATGTCTGTTGAACAATTTGCCCTATTACACGATCTTTTAAAGGCAAAGCTACAAAAGAAAAGTCGCAGAATGCCTTTGTCAACAGAAATTCGTGTTGCTGTGACATTAAGGTTTGTACATAAAATTATAATTTATTGCAATTGTATTTATATCGTACATTATATATACCAGGTCTGTAAATATGAGACCGGAATTTACCCATAGATGGCCCTAGCTGTCGATGTAGTTAGCCGTCAAACCGCGTCATTGGCGCCATTTCCATTTATTGATATCTGACAAAGATTTTCAACTCACAACAATACAAGTTTCATACAGCAGCATAGTTTGTAATAGCGTTGAACATGTCGAATTTTGTGCCTGGAAGTTACGATTTGCAGACAGCATTGATTTACTGTTCTGGTATTTGAAGAAAACTGCTGCAGAATTGCATCGAATGCTTGTCGAAGCTTACGGTGAGCGTGCTCTTGGTAAATCACAGTGCTTTGAGTGGTTTAAAAAATTCTAACGCGGCGATTTTAACGTGAGAAACGACAAACATGGAAGACCACCGAAAAAGTTTGAAGACAGCGAATTGCAAGCATTGTTAGATGAGGATAACGCTGAAACGCAACAACAACTCGCGGATCAATTAAATGTGACACGAGAAGCCGTCTCCATGCGTTTGAAAGCCATGGGAAAAATCCAGAAGATGGGGAAATGGGTTCCACATGAACTGAATGAAAGACAGCAGGAAAACCGAAAAACTACTTGCGAAATGCTGCTCACCAGGTACAAAAGAAAGTCATTTCTCCATCGAATTATGACTGGCGATGAAAAGTGGATATATTTTGAGAATCCTAAGCGTAAAAGATCATGGGTAACTCCAGGCGAACCATCGACATCGACTGCAAGGCCAAATCGCTATGGACGGAAGACAATGCTCTGCGTTTGGTGGGATCAGAAGGGTGTGATCTATTATGGGCTGCTAAAACCTGGCGAAACCGTTAATACTGTACGCTACCGACAACAAATGATCGATTTGAATCAAGCTTTGCGTTAAAAACGACCAGAATATCAAAAAAGGCAACACAAAGTGACTTTGCTTCATAATAATATACCATCACACACAGCAAAACTGGTCAAGGATACGATTGAGGCGTTTAGTTGGGAAATACTTTCGCATGCGGCTTACTCACCAGACTTGGCTCCGTCCGATTATTACTTATTTGCATCGATGGCACACGCACTTGCTGAGCAGCGTTTCACTTCTTACGAAAATGTACGAAAATAGCTCGACGACTGGTTTGCCTCAAAAGAGCAACAGTTTTTTTGGCGTGGCATCCACAAATTGTCAGACAAGTGGGAAAAATGTATAGCTTGCGATGGTCAATATTTCGAATAAAATATTTTTTATCATTTTCATACAATAAACGTGTATTTTCTATACAAAAATTCCGGTTTCATATTTACATACATACCTGATACATTATATATTATATAGAATATTTAGATATACATATATATATATATTAGGTGCGCAACTAAGTTCTCGCTGTTTTTTTTGATGAAAATGCAACTTTATTGTGAAAAATGGTTACAAATGAATCATTCAAAATATTGCCCATCGCTAGCGACAACTTTTTCCCATCTTTACATATCTAACATCTCTACATCTCTAACATATCACTTCTTTTGTACAGTAGAAGTGTTGTAGAGTTTTATTATAGTTATAAGTTTTACTTGTAAAAACTTATGTTATGTACACATATATGCCTTAAAAAAGTAATTTGAGTTTAAAAATTTCTAAAAATAACACAATACGTGTTGCGCTTGTACTTGGCGCCTCTTTTTTACCTTTTTGTTTAAAGGTAAATTTTATATAAATTTTACTTGTAAAAATTGTACGGCACGTACATACACCATTAATATGTAAATGTCATTAATTTATACTTGTAAATTATCTTCATATCACGGTCCTAAGAACCCGTCGGAGTCGGACAAGAAGAAGAAAGCGCTGAGCTCCGGAGTCACTTTGGATGCGACCGAATCGCTCCAGTGTGACTCGGCCAAGGTCCTGCAGACTCTTGAAACGAGAGTTCAGAGGTCTTAAGGAAGCGCGATCACTTTCGCTCCTGAAATTGCCAAGGTACTCGATGGACGTTTAGAAAGAGAGAAAAAGCTCACAAACAAAGCTCTAAAAGGAGACGGCAGGAGCCGCTCCTAAAATCCTCCCAAAGTCCTCGACGGACGCTTGGAGAGAGAGAGAGAGAGAGAGAGAGAGAGAGAGAAAGAGCTCGCAAAAGCTCCAAAGGAGGCGGCCACGCCGCTCCTGATCGTGGCGACGCAGAGAACTCCAAGCTGATCGGTAGAATCGAATCATAAAGCCTCATCCCAGCATGGTATATCGGCGCCGCCTTCAAACTCAGTAGAGCCTATATCGCGGTGGTTCGAATCTATACTACACGCCGAAACTGCCCTAGGAAATCCGAGAGAGAGAGAGAATCGGTAAAGACTGGCCGCTACAAGTCACACAGACCAGAAACCAGAGGTTGTCACAATCGCCGTTGGGCCATGCGATGGCACGCACCTCGCTGTCGCGCTCGGTTATATCACCCGGGCGTCCGAATTTTAGCTGCGAGCAGCGAAATCGCGTGAGCGCGTTGCGTAGCGGCCGCGATCGGCACTAGTAGCTACGCGCGGGGCGCCGGCGGGACTACCGCGCGCTCGCCTGCGAGAAACCGACAGGAGCCAGGCCGTCCGCCACGCAGCATCGACTGCTCGACGATTATAATAATATGCATGTTGCAGCAACGTGAATGAATGTCGTTGCTTACACATTTCCGAACATTATACAATCTTTGTCCATTCAAACCTAATGTGCAATATTTCACAATACCATCGTTCACTACCGGAATTAAATAAACGAAATAAATCCTTCACTCGATTGCATCTTAAATACTATATATTGTATAACGCTACAATAACTACATTTGTTCATCCCACTACCCCCTTGTCAACATTATTATCGACATTACGCACCGCTTCACAACTTAACATTCGACAATCTGTCGCTCGATTCTACAAAGAACGCGATAATTCGATAGCACGGATGATCGATGACGACGAGACTTATTCAATGGAGCAAACACCGTGACTACTTTTCTCTCCAAGAGTCGTACTAACGCCAATGCCAAGCACCATACCGTATATGTTATTAACCGCTTCGACATAACATACCCTTCCAAACAACAAACAATTTTGTAATTCCGCACAGCTGACTCACATATACCGACGTGCACGACCCATCGTAATACCAATCGCATGCTGCTACATCCGCTCGATGCTCGATTCTGATCTCAACATCGCCGAATATCCGTCCAAATACACACGCTTGCATCTTTCCTAACGCTATTCGAACGCTATTGCGTAGTTACACACTGAAACTTGCCGCATGGGTGACTTTGATTGACCACTCTCTGTCTCTTCGTTCTCTCCCGTAGCTAATTGCCGCAAGGAATAATTTTACCGTCGCTCGCGGCTGCTCACGGCTGTTGCGATAATCGCGATAATCGCGATAAGCATGACAAATCTATCTACAGCATGACGATTACGATCAAAGTCACCCCATGCAATTGAAAGCGTTATTTCAGCCACTTACACACTATATACCCTGCCGTACTGTCTCGCAGATTTTGTTTCACGAGTCTCTCGTGCGAGTTCATACGACCTCGTGTCGCTTCTTTTCCTCTTCTTGTACATTATTGCATTAAAATTCTAATCATCTCCTCGATAGCGGTCCCCTCGACAAAGACACAATAGCCGTGTGATACTAACAGTAATTATTAACCGCTTCATATTACGTCGCTAATATTCAAATTACACGCCTCCGTTGCCACCAACCCAGCCCAACGAATAGACGACGATAAAATAGACAATAAGAATAATTCTGACGTGCAATATATTGTATATAATTACTTCGTGAATTTAACACTTGTTTGTATCGATCTCTCGCAAAGATTCACGCACGTACGATCAGCAACTATGGGAAAAAACGATACCATGATAACACGTGTGACAAGAATACACATAATTAGTTTCAGTTTAATTTCTCGCAGAAAACAGTCCGCGACACACAGTGCTCCAATGTTCGTCAACGTCAACTGAGAACAATGGAGTCTTCATACTCCTCCGCTTCTCTCAATTACGATATTTCCTCCCATCTCGCCTCTGTATCCTCCCATCTCGCAGACTTGCTCCCGTTGTGCTAGTCCTCGATCTTCGTCGAATCGGAGCCATTCGTATTATCCAACGTTACATTCGGCGTGTTCTCCTCTGCATCATCTTTGTCTCCCGAGGATATCAAATTTTTTAGAGACTTGCTGATGGAACCAGTAGAAGGAAATACGATAGAGTTACCTTTTCTGTCCTTACCTAATTGCCCGAGATTAAAGATAATGTTGGAAAGAGACTTGACGAAAGACTTCACAAAAGACTTCAGAGACTCATATCTGGCCTTCAAATTGTTCTCTACACTGCGCACTACAGCATTCATCATGTAGCCCATTATGTCCTCTGGCTTGCCCTGTAGCATACTTGTCGCGCCTCCGATCATATTCGTAAAATCGCCTACAGCCTTGCTATCCGTGACAATTGTGTCCTTCACACTCTCGCCCAGATTCTTCGTTGCCTCTTCCAGATTTCCTAATATCGGAACTTCAGGAACCAATCCAAAAATAGCCCTCTTCTTCATCAAGGTATAACCATTCGCACTCACAGCTACGCATACAACTACCTGATTTCATGAAACGACAATATATTTTTTTTTCATTCGTCCATTATTTCGTGCTTCACACGAATAGACTGAATAGTTCGATCCGTCTAATTTCAGTAATCACATTGTCGCAACGATTGCTTAGTTGCAACAACGGATCGATTACGGTTCTTAGAAACAAATTCTCGATTTCATAGATGATTTATATATATTTCATATATATAAATATATATGTATATATATATATATATATATATACGTGAGAGATATCGGACCATTCATATTCGTATTATTTATAAGTAAAAACTTACGAAGAGAGATATTGTTCTCGTCTGCATGTTTCCTTTCTCACTTGAAAACCAAACTTGTGCCAAACTTAACGAACCGTGTTATAATATAGTGTGAATTTTGCACCGTCGCTCTATATATCAACGAGTTGCTCCTCAATGACTTGGCATTCTCTTCTGGATCATGGGAAGTCGTTTATCATTTTGGCGAGTTATTGCGAAACTCGCATTCGTTTTAACGAGTGTGGTTTTGCGCACGCGTACGCACGCACGCACGATTTTATCACCGTCACACACGTAACAATCAACTATATCAACGCTACTAAATCCTACTGTTACATATACATTATAATAACGACAATGGATACACCACCGTCTCGCGTCTTGAATACACTGATGACGTTAATTTATTATACCGTAATTTAGAGTCCACATATGGTTTTAACGATTCTCCTCTTCTTCGCGGCAGACACGCGCGATGCTCGCATCGCGTTTTGATACTTTGTTATCCTTGTTATCGCGTGACGTGTAAATCTTTTTACTGAATGTCGCTCTTACAGTCCATTTTGTCGCCATCACACATCGTGAAAAAAAATGTAAGAAACACCACTATGGATGACAAAATACCGACTTGAATGACCCAAATGCTCGGCTCCAGCAAGACCCACCATCATAAACACCGAGCACATCAAATACTTCTCTCTTACATTTGTAATATTAAATAACAGATAGATAGAGAGAGAGAGAGAGAGAGAGAGAGAGAGAGAGAGAGAGAGAGAGAGAGAGAGAGAGAGAGAGAGAGAGAGAGAGAGAGAGAGAGAGAGAGTTTCACCTCGAAGATCGCTCTCAACACTATTAGTAAATGATGCCTCCTCTTGTGGCGCGAACATGTGATAGTAGCGCCACCAACAGTAAGAAATCAAGCACGTATATAAGGATCGCTATTACGATTTTCTTCACTTCGAACATGTTCCACGGCTCCTTGCGCATGCTTTGACACGGATTCATTGTAAATTAATCTGGCTAACAATGACGATTACTTGATCGATAAATAACCTTTTCATTGAAAGCAAAATAAAGTCAGGTTCGACTCAATATCGACTTGGAATTTTTCATAGACACTTTTTTTCATGGATGCAATAATACGTACATAATAGATTATTGTCGTTGAAAGTCTAATGAGAAATTGAAAACGTATCTTTCATATATGTAATAACAGGTATAAAGGAAAATATAACGAGACAATTTATGGCGAGAACAGTAACAACGAACACAAAATTTTTATTCATACGACCGTTCATCTCTCAGTGGCATATTTTTCTCATTCACATAGGTTATTTATCGCTTCGTACTTCTCTTCTCGTAATTCTCTCGAAATGTTCACCGCATTAATTTAACAGCCCGAAACGCTGTTTTCAGCGCTGTTTTACGGTAGTTAACGTACCGTGACCTTACGTACTCTGTACGTGTCATCAAACGATGGTCGAGAAATTAGTGTCGATTACTTTGCAACATTTTAGTGTCCTCATCCATTTAACTGCGCGACTAATTTTCGCTCGATCGTAAAGATCGAAGAACCAGACGAATTTTATCACGCGAGAATTAAAGCGCGTGCGATTTATTTCTATTCGCTATTCGCGACACAACTAACGATTTAAGTGTTTGTTGCCAGCGGTTAAACACCAGATTTATTTATCACTTCTCAGGATTCTAATCTTGCCCCAACGTGTCATGACGTTTCGTCAAAACATATATTTACTCTTATTAAATATCTTCCGATGTAATCTTATAGCGATAACATTTTATACGCGAATGTGCGCACGACTCATCATCGGAATAAAGTAACAACGTTATCTAAAATTAACACTAACTTCATAATACTTTTTACGATTGTGTGTGAGAGAACAAGAAAGAAAGTCATGTTTAATGCGCACATAATAAAATGTCGCGGCAATATCCGAGAGCGATATTAATGCGCACACCAACGGACACTTCTAACAATTTCCTTCAGCAGCATTCTTCGGAAACATCGAAAAATCGACAAACACATGTTCCATGTTTATGTATAGGCTAATATTCATATAGAGCGGTGTTCACATTCGAATTTCACATTTAAGACCCGTTTCCAGTTAATTTCCAAATGCTCTGTGGCCAATGGACCTGTTGTTTTCAATTAAACTGTAGCTAAAACTAAAACTCTAGTTGCTGCTTGTTGGAACCTTCTTCCTTTTCCCTTCGACGCTAAGTTATAAAGTATGTTCGTTTCGTTCCAAATTGCAAAAAAACGTGCAATCTACTACAACAGCTAAGAGGAATAACAAGAATAATCCCAATGAAATAAATAGAATTTGAGAGTAAACTTAAAACGAGATACTAACTGTAAAAGACCTGACTATAAATATTGTTCTTTCTTAATTATATAACTTCAGCCAGGATGGAGAACATGTCGATGTGAATCCGTAATCGTTGAGAGAATCAACGAACCAGTCGATGATGATCGCAATAATGGTGACTCGCGTATCGGTGGTGCCTGTGAGTAAAGCTTCTCGAGTGTTTCCGTTTTTGTCTGGCGGCCATTTGTTGCCTATAGACGAAGAGCGGTCTGAAGACCTTGGCATCCTGCGTCTGCATGTCCTCCGCCTCGTTCGCGACTTTCTCTTCGACCTTGTTCTCGAGTCCGAGTTCACGAACGGATCTCCTGACCCTGGCTTCGACCTTCTCGTTCGATATTAATCTCGTGGACTGCCGATCCACGGTTGCTACCAAAGGCATTCTCTCGATGAAACCATTGGTCGCTACTTTGTCCTTTGGCATTCCATAGACTTCCACCTGCGAGCAATACGGCGTTTTAATTTTGTTAATCGCCATTCGTCGCACTCGTCGCTCAGTATAAAATAATTCTCCGTAAGAATCGTTAATCGAGGCCAATGGTGCAAAAATTAATATTTATGAAATGCATTTATGTATTTCTATGTATTTTATATAAATTTCATGCACCTGCAACATATAAATATATGTGCATGTGCGAGCGTGCGTGTGTGTGTGTGTGTGTATTATAATCAGGAATCCGGACCGAAATAAAATTTCGGTCCGGTTACGGTTACAACAAGATATCCAACAAGATATTTCGTAACGGTTCTCAATTTCGGTTTAGGTCCGGTTAGGCATAACGGGATCTAGAACCATTTAAAATAACGGTTTTTTCAAAATTATTCTTTATTTATTTTATATTATTTTTTATTTGAAATTATTATTTAAAATTATATTATAAAATTATTATTTAAAATTATTTTATATCATCTTTTATTTGAAATTATTTCTCATTTATTTTATATTATAAATATTTATTTTTTGTCAATAACAATATTACATGTAATATTACATGTAATATATAAACGAATTTTCTTCACAAAAATATTTAAGCGGCGTCATTTTTTTATCAATTTTAACCACCGTTAATGATTTCGATTTGGTGCACTTTTACTTGGTAATTGCTTCCTCTGTTTTTGAGGTTTTTGTGGTAACGTCGTAGCTATATCTGTTTCCAACGTGCATTTTGCTTGCTTTATTTTCTGAGATTGAGATCACAAAATATGAAATTATCTATTTTTATTTTATCCTTGTAATTAATATATACGTAATAAAAAAGCTACGCAATGCCGTTAACGACACTGACGACTGTCGGAAGTCCACAGTAACGGAACGGAAAGAGGCCTCGAACGTAATTACTGTAGTACGTTGATCGCGGTGTGAATTTTCTAATAAATAATCGGCGGCAGCGACACACGGGGGGGGGGCTGTTGTAGAAACCGAGAAAGGACCGAAAATCGAAAATATTTTTATCGGTCCGGTATCGGTTTCGGTCTATTTGATTCTATAACATTTCGATTAGGTTATGGTTACGATTTGAGCATAAAAATCGGTTTCGAAACGATTATATCGGTTCGGATCCCTGATTATATAGTTTATACATTTATAATTGTGCAGAGTTATATATTGAGCAGTATAATAAGTTAAATGCAGATTTTTCAGATAAAATGAAACGATTCTACTTCCACATACTTGGTCATAATTTCACGAAACAATGTACGAGCCGTTTTAATTCACAATCTTCCGCAAAGGAAAGATTCTGCAAGTATATATCAATATCCGCGTAAACCTCGTAAAGGACAAGCCATTCATCGATAGTGAACATTTACCAATCGACCAATCTTTGGAGCGTCGTTGATTCCATCATCCTCCACGTGCATCCTCTCGATAACACCATTATCTTGCAGACGTTTCCTCGGCAGACCGTACGCGCGAATGCCCGGTTTGTCCTCCTCGGAATCCAAGCGAATCCGTCGTACCTCGTCGTCTGATCTACTTTGATTACGAATCTGCGGTCGTTTGCCGTTATCCAGGGATTTACGCGATCGTGTAAAATCAGTCTCGCCGATTACCGATTGATCGGTGAAACTCGATGTTACGTTTACGTGCTGCCAGACACGTGCCTCGCTTATTAAATTCAACGAGACAACCGCCAGTAGAAGTAGCTGGAGAATAAACGAACGATGACAACTGAGAGCGAGAAAGAACGATAGCGTCATTTAACGATAGCGTCTGCATTCCCTTTGTATGTACTTCTATACTCCTTATCATCGGTCGAAACGTTTCACGCTGCGCAATACTGCGGAATACGCGCGGACAAGCGCGATTATCGCCCGCGGTTTGCCGCAATAGCAGTCTTAATCTTAATCACGCTTCGGTAAAAACGCGAAAGATTACGCGCTTCCTATGCATTCTAATGAATACCGTTCCCCCCCGCGACTTTAGGGGGGGAAAAACCATTTTCACAAGATCCGTTGATAAAAGTACGTTTTCCAGTCACATTCAGTTGGAATGCAGAATGTTTCGGCCAATCATCGGCTCATCATCGAAAACATCCGAAACAATCAAGTGGGATCAATCACTGGCGTTTTCGCTCTTTATAACGATCGATAAAAAGCGAAGCTTAAACACTTAAACATTTGCAATTCAGGAAATAGTATTAACAAAAGCAAATGCGTGTGTAAATTATTCGAGCCGCACTTTACGCAAGACGGAAAATTGAGATATGTTCGATGCGAAATATTTCTTTCCGATAATCAGCAGTCGTGGTTTCAAAAACAGTTTTGTGACAGTGATAAAAGTTATTTGTTTTCTTCGCTGTAAAAAGAACTGACGACTGACAAGAGAAGGGAGAAAAAAGACAGGTTTTAATGAGAGAGACTAATGCAATTAAGAGAGAGAGAGAGAGAAATTAAGAGAGCGGACTTAATGGGAAATTAGAGTAAAATATGAGAAAGTTTACAAGCGAGTAAATTTAATAAAAAAAAAAAAGAAAAGGAGAAGAAAAAATGATACCGACACAAAAGGCAAACAATGACTTTTACGTTCGATCCTTACCATCGATACCGCTGATTTCATCGCGCGCTGATTCCTTCTCTTCCTATAACGTATATCCTGTTCAGCTCGCCGGCTCTCAGCTGCTCGGGCTCTTAGACAGCGTTTGAAGGAAAAGATTGACCGCGCATCGGTTATATACGTAAGCTACGGGTTGCGATCTCGAGGAGGGCAATTAAGCCACGCTCACACACGAGCGAGTCCGTGATATGCAAATTCGTTGTAGAGCGAGAAACCGCTCTCGTTCCCGGTAAAAGAGCGAGCCTGCGAGACTGCAGGTAATGAGTCATCTTCGTTAGCTTCATTAGCCAATCGTTGAAGGAACTCGAAAACTCGCAATGCTCCTTTTCATCGCCGCTCTCAAACGGGATGAGAGCTCGGGTGAGAGCTCTCTTTACAGAGAAGGAGAAAAAAGGCGTGTCGGGTCCAACGGACCCTTTCGGGAGTCTCCCGCCTTCGGTGGAACGATGACCGGAAGAATGCTTGCGTTCGCGCACGGTATCTCCTGAACCGGTATCCGACCTGAACGTGATTCGAGATCAAATCGACGTTGTTTCTGCCCTTGACGATCGACGGTGAATTCCAACAGGTGTTAAACGCCTATTCACCGACCGCGAAACTGACACACGCACGCACGACTACTCACACTACTCACACGTATGTGCGATTAACTTTCCCACTCATCTAATACCAAATGATTCGCGCGACAGTGTTTCTCATTACGAAAATTTCCGTTCTGAAAAGTCCGAGGAAGTCACTCTGAAAATATTTTCGCGTATTTCGCGTAACCTTTTAGTACGAAAATTAGCCCACGGGGAAAACACCGTTCTAAATTGCTCTGTAACTGATTGATCGAACAAAATCGTCTCAATCTACATACATCTTTTTCTTACTTCCCGCAATGTTGACGAAATCTTTGCGCTCTTTCAATTCACGTCATTCAGTCTCAATCGACTCTGATTACTCAATTATTCCCGGGAAGCGCGTTCATTACGCTTCATTACCCTCAACCGCTCCCTCAAAAGTTTCCGCAGTTTTGCTGCAGATAGTCGATAGACAACCGCTGCGTTACACCGCATGAACGGGTAGATGGAAGAACGAGTGACTAACCGCTTTTCCCCCGAAGGCGAATTAATGATGACACGTTTACTATACAGTCTATACAGTAATTTCTACCATCGCGCGTTCCCGTTAAGCGCGATCAATGATCGTTCACCGAACGATTCGCCTAACGCGATGAGAGCGCGAGTGATGATGGAGTCTTATTACCGTTGACTCTAATGTTGAGGACTAATGTCACCGCCGAATGTGTATCGTATATCACACATTAGATCTCTCGCGTATCGCAGATACGCGCCACGTTGCGAACGTACGTTGCGCAGCGACACCGTTGCAGCTACACCACATGGATAGAGCCACATGACGTCGCGCAGATGGAGATTCTTTAGAACTGTTGCTCCAATGCGATATTAGAGCAATTCGTAGTCGGTTGCACACAGTCGACTACTGCAGCGGCTGCTGCTGTCGTTAATGTGCTGGCGTTCGGAATAATCGCAACTAACCGAACTACTACGAAGCGTTTATTTCACATCGGCACCGGCACCGCCGTCGACTGAGAATCGTCCGATCGAATGAGAAGACGCGCGAATCTCCGATACGTCAAGTCGTCTACCGTTGTCCACCGTTTACGAGATAAATAATCGTCGCCGCGTGTACCTGCGTACACGCGTGTGCTACGTACTTCCGCTGCTATAAAGGAAAAAGAAGCCGAATGAAAAGAAGAAAGAGAAAGAGCATAATACAAAATACGTAATATGCAGCAATATGTTTGTCTACGACAAACCGGAGAAATACATTCTTTCTCCGGGACTATCGATCTTGACTCTAGATTTGTGACGCACCACCGAGTCAATCAGAGTCGACGATAACAAATATAATTATAGACGCTGCACTGTTCGGCGTAGAAACGTAGTTCGGGAGACGAGAAGGAGATGACGCAAGACGCAAAGAAACACGGACTTTCGGCATGCATAATCTCCGAAACTTTATCATTTTTTTATCATTTAGTAATTTTTTTATTTCGACCGAAATATCATTATTTGTAGCAACGAATTAAGATAGGACTTTCATCATTAAAAATATTCACTCAGTATCTCCCTTTTTCTCCTCGCTACTTAACTTCATTTTAGTATCAACGGAAGATCGAGATATTATTATACGTAGCAGCGAGAACTAACCGCGAGAAATTTATCTTTTCGATAGACAATTCACCGTTCCGTCAGTTAACGCCATTGTTGGTAAATTGTTAGTAATAATCGTTAGGAGTATCGGGAATATCGATAACCGCGTCTCGGATAAGGATTGTACGAATTGTATCTTCGGTAAGACAATCTTCGGTAGTCGCTGTCGGTGCCACGGCGCCAAGATCTCCGCTGTTCTTCCTGTCGGAGACGGAAGAGCGGTCTGAAGGCGATATGCGCCGCGGTGTCCATGTCGCGTGAATCTTTGGGATAGTCGACGTCCGCATCCGAGGTCCAGAAGAGCGGCGTTACAATATCGACACGTGGCACTGCGACCGGAAGAGAAATTTCAGGTCGAACGTCGCTCACGTATTGATTCTCCGTCGTAGCTGACTCGTACAGCAGCGGTGTCTGCACAAAGAGAGAGAGAGAGAGAGAGAGAGAGAGAGAGAGAGAGAGAGAGAGAGAAGATAAAAATCGTAAATTCTCAGCAAAAGATTTCAAATGAAATTTAAAATAAGACGAGACGAAGCTTACAGATTGACGGACTGAAAGTGAAACGATTGTAAAATTATCAACAAGACATTACCAACTTATGATGCTTGATGAAATAAAAGAGATTTACCTGCGCATCGGACGACATGAGTCGCCAATAATCAGGATCCACGCTCCAGGAGTTCCCGTCGATGTAATCCTGAACATTTCGTTGTATCTCGTCGCGCTCGTTCTCCAGCAGGTCCATTCGACTTTCCGAAATATCATCCGCCTGTGACAACGCCGCCGCAATCGGAACATCGACTTTATCGTCAGAGATTTTCGCAGGATCAAACAGCGCGATGATCGGCACTGATATTGTGGTCGATGCACGATGGTGTTGATCCTGATAGTACGCCGGACGCTTCATTTCCTTCCGCGGATCCGGCATGAGATGGAGGGGCGTCTCTCGCGACGTTTTATCGTCGTCGACAGGGAGATACGGTTTACGTGTGGTCTCAGAAAGCTCGTCTAACGTTTCATAGATACCGACGCGCTGTGACGTGTCAGCCGGATTATTTTCATTTCCCTGCAAAATCGTTTATCAAAATCATGAGCAACCGCGGCATGCGATGGGATAGGCTTTGTCGTACCAATCACGTGGAAATAACGAATTGAATTTAATTTAATTTGCGCTAATATTTTCTCTAATAATTATATTTAATTTAATAATTCACGCGCGCACAAGTCGCGCATTTACAGATCAAGATATGTCATTCAATATATATATATATATATATATATATATATATATATATATATATATAAAATGTCTGAATCGATTTCTTGCCTACATAAAATTCCTTCTCGCCGTCCGTGTCCATGGTGAACGGTCGCGTGTCTGCGAATGCTGAATCGTCTCTTTCCTCGTTTGCACCTCCCGTGATGTTTTTCCTCACATCCTCCAGATTTGTCACCGGGACCACGAGAACTTGCTCGCTTTGCGACATCACCTTGAAGAGCGACAAACGCGATCTTTACCTTTTCCTTTCCTTCCTAAACCGCCGAAAAACTGCCGACTCGACTTACAATTTGCGACAAATTGCATGACGCAGCTCCGACGCAGCGCGAGCTTACGTAATTCCTTTCGGCAGCCGGTTCATACTTCCGCGCAGTTATTACATAAACTCGATTAATCAGATTCCGACGTGACCATTGCTGATGAAAGCTAACACAGTAGTACTAATCGTCTTAATCGTTAACAAGTATCGTCTATTCGACGACGACGACATTTAGCTACTTAATATCTCAAACGTCGTTTCTCGTGACGCAAAATGATTGACGTGGCGCAAATGTCGAATTAATGTTCGCGAGTGATCGGACGCGAAGAACGAACTACGAAGAGGATATAAAACCTTGCGCGCGCGAACCTTGGTAGGTGCGGTGGCAGGCATGATGAAAATCCTCTTCTTCACCACCAAGCCTTCCAAGGAGCCATTGCCGACCGTATTTTGCACGGCATCCTGCACCACCGGGTCTTGCACGATGACGGCCAACGTGTCATTCGTCGTCCGTGGTTCCGTTGGCAGCAGATTCGCCGCATCTTCGTAATCGATAGGGTGCGCGCTCGACCGCGTTACCGCGAGCAGCGAAAGGTAAATGATAAAAAGCATAACTCGTCCCGTGCCAAACTATAAAAGCCAAACGATTAAATGGCGATTTATCCGGTACAGGTCAGGATTTATCGGATGCAGGATCTCTCCCGAATATTCTCGACTGGCAGAACGCTCGTTAGAACGAAATTGCGACGCATTTGCGCTACTACTAGTCGGAACGGATTCTATATTAGGAATTTGAATTTCGATTTAAAAGAAAAATTTTATATACACACACATACATATATGTATACATATAATTTTTTCCTCGCACAGTTTTCCACAACTCTATGACCTTAGCGAGAGTTAGCTTTCCGAAATAACAGACTCGATCGTTCGTGGTCGGTGAATGTTCGTGACTATATAAGCGTGGCGACATCCACATCGTGTTAATTGCTTACGTGAAAAGCGGATTTTCCAAACGTCACGTTTATCTAATCTACTGGCAAAATATGTAAACGTACCGAAGAATCGTATCCCATCGTTTCGCAATGGTAAAAATTGCGACGTTCCTCTCGGACTGCCCCGACGACCGGACTGTGCAGTCGCAATGATGATTTCCCAGCTCTGTCAAGGTATAACGGGCCGTACCGGCTTTATACGAGGTGCTGACAGAATTATCGCTAGCCCGCTAATACGCGTGAGTATAATAAAGCTCGCGTATAAACCGATGTCTCTGTCGAATGCTGCGAATCGTGAGGGAGCATTCCTCCTTCAATTGTCGATCATGCCGTCACATCGCTCTCGCGAAAAAAATCACGTTAATTCGCATCTTCTTTTCGCGAGACGAGAAACACTGCACGACGATGATCAGGCTCGTTCAAGAGACTCGTCCGTTTTCGACGTCAGTCAGAAAAAACATCGGTCCTTCGGTCTGCCCCGTTCACTTCCGCTTTCCCCTCAGAACGGAGCAACGTCGGACTAGCAACGTCGTCGACTAGTACCGTTCGACCGAGAACACTCTCGGAGTAATATTTTACTTATCGTTTAGCGCACTCCTAACAATACTCACCGAGACCCGGTGCGAGATTTAGCGAGTAGCTTTTAGCTTAGCAGCGAATCCCGAATAACAAGCTATAAAAGAGCCGCTCCGACTTCCCGAGTCGCTAGTCGGCAACGGAAAATTAGATCCCTTGCGCCAGTTGGGAGATACGCGGACTGCGGAAAATGGCACGTCTCGGAAGCCTCTTCCGCCTCGGAAGCGTGCTGCTGCTTTGCTCGTTCGCAATCCTGACGGGATTGGTGTTCTCGGTTCCGTCGGCGTCGACCACTGACACTCCGAAGATTAAAGACGCGGCGCGTCGGATCGTGGATCCGTTCAAGTCGGGTAACACGGAGAACGATCCGGACTGCCGTTGGATGCACGTCGATCATCTGAAGGACGTAGATCCTCACACTGAGAAGGAACACACGAAGGATTCACACACATCTCGCTTTGAGGAGGGATCGGTCGAAGACGCGCGACCTTCGAGGCATACTGGAGACCGTCGCGAAGGCGATGTTCCTCGACCGAGTTATTTGCGAGAAACGGCTGTAGATTTATCGTTGCCCGATATGTCAGCGGTCCCCGGTCCGATATCGGCTCGCACGGCCAACCAGGCTGAAGGAAGAGCTCGGGATTATGGAAATCCCGCGTCCTCGTCGATCAGAAACACTCCCGAGGATGATGTCGAACGTAGAAGCATCGATTCGTCGCGACGACGGGACGCCAATTTCGAAGAGGATATCGAGCTAGCCGAAGATAGGTATCGATCGCAGTATCCTTACTGGTACCAACGGCAATACCCGAATCAACGATACCGGGTGAATGACAAGAGGGGTCCCTATCGAAACTATTTGAGATATCCTGTATTCCCGGGGAGATAAATTTCTGAGAGAGACTCGACTCTCTCTCTCTCTCTCTCTCTCTCTCTCTCTCTCTCTCTCTCTCTCAATAATGTAAGAGCGATATGATGTATATAAATTGAAACATTGAAGTAGTGTTACTATTAATCGGTGTTTACTGAGTATGATAGATTTGCGTAGTCTGGACGATAGATCTTGGAGAGTGTAGATATAAAAGAGGTGGACACACACACACACACACGCACGCACGCACGCACACGTGTGTAAAATATAAAAAGCGATTTTTTTTTATGCACTCCAAAAACGCTTGCGAATAAATCCTTGTAGATGAATAATAAAACGACAAATGCATGCATATATGATCGCAATGTTATTTATTTATAAAACTCCACATGCACATATGTAACTTGGACATTTTATTGCAGACGTCGCTGCATCATCAATATAACGCTCTCTCCTGTACACTTGACCTGTCCACTTCTTGTGTGATTATCAATTAATCCGAGATTGCTCGCGTCGTTCTACGTAGCTTTGATTGGCCACGTAGTTCTGGTGGACGGCTTTCGGTTGCTAAGGTTAACGCTGAATTATCTATCAATTAAAATAACTAAAATAACTAAAATAACTAAAATAACTAAAAAATATTTGACTTATCTCTTTATTTAATAGCAATCGAACAAACATTTACATATATAATGCATACGCATTGTTCTTTGATTCTTCCTTGATTCGAGCCTAACCATCGATTTATGTAGACTTTAATCTGGGGTTGATCGGTCAATCGATCCGACTCGAGATCACCGCTTATGAAAGATCGTAAGGTTAGGTCGTAATCGCAAGGATAGACGAGTGCATCTTTGGTCTCTTGCCCCGGTCGCTTCCTGGAATTTCTCCGGAATTTCGATGTCGTTAAAGATTTTAAGATTTCGTCGAGTCAGTAAGTTTGCTTCGCGCTCGTTTATGTCCGTCGAAGTAACAAGGACCGCAATCTCTTATTTAAGAACACGTGTCCAGTAATTTACCAACGAGTTCAACACCCCTGTGCTGTACGATCGATGGTACAATATATCTTCTAGTCAACCCTATTCGTCCGTTCGCTCGCCACGGAAGCCATCGACGGCCCATTCCACTTTCCCTCCCTCTCCTTTGCACGCTAGTACTAGGATACGCCTCTAGGATAGTAAGTTCCTGTTTCGATGAGGCGGCCTTGTTTCACGCCCGAAAGTTTCGCACTCGTTCGAGTGCTTCCGCTTCGTCGTTTATGAGCTGGAGGATTCCGTTCGTCGTCGCCGAGACGATCGGCGACGTTCGTTCTCTTCGATCGGATAAAATTTCAACTTGCCCCTCCTTCCATTGAATTTTATCCAGTTGTTACCTGGGCTTGTTTCGAAAGTTTTCTGTCTTTTTTTCACATAGCGATTTCCTGTCGCAGACAGCCCGATCTTTCGTCCGAGAATTCTTCGCTCGTCAGGAAGGAAATCATATTGAAGATCTTAAAGGCCGAAGTATCTCTCTCGTGTCCGGGTCTCTGAGTTTATCTCGGATGTATTATCCGCCCGATAATACAAAAGTGAGATAACGATTGCGCAATTCGCCAGAATGGTCGAGTTCTTCGAAACGCATCCTCGCGCTTCCTCGCTTATATTCGCCTTCCGCGTCGAATCGCTTCTCTGGCGCGCTGTCGGTACGCAATTTGTTGACGGTAAACGAAGAGCGGCCGAAGGACGTTGCTGCCGGCTGCGGTCTCGAGGTCGTCGTCGTCGCCGTCGTCACCGTCGCCGTCGGCCGCTCCCTGGACGTTACGTTTCACGACATTGAAGGAGCTCGCGCTCGCCAGGTCACCGTTCAACGTGTACAACGCATCCGTCCCTTTCGATTCTTCGTCCGTCCCAACTCGAGGTTCCTCGAAACCCCGCACAAGGACAGGCATCGCGAGCAACGAGGGGGGACCGTAGATGATCGCCACTCTGAGAGGTAATGCGTAAGAGCAGGTAATGCCGGCGAGCAACAGTGCGAAGACAATGACTCTGGCGGCCGTCTGAAGAAACAGAAAGAAACGCACTCTTGTGTACGCGATATTAAGAGCCTCTCGCGCGCGAGGCAGCGAGAAAGAGACAGTGTGTAATCAGATCTAGAAGCACGCGATCGCACGGCATGGTCTGCCTGCTCACGAGGAAGACGTCTACTTACCATCTTCTAATCCAAAGGATGCAAAATCAGCGAAATCCTGTGCGAGCACGTAGCGATATGTAGTAACGACTGACGAACGATATACGTCTGCACGAGCCCGACCGATGCCCCAACGAAGTAGAACGAGGTAGCGTTCCTCGAGAGTCTCGAGAAACAAAAAACGTACGCCCGTCGAGCCGTAGTAGAATAAGCCGCGTCGTCGGTCAGTCGCGGGTTTACGGTGGCCGGGATCGTGCATTCGGTATTTATATGAAACAATGACGTCAAAGCGGAGCACGCTAATTATACAATGACGCTCCGCGACGGACGATAAATGACCTGGCAAACCGAAGCGTGTGTGACAAGTCGACCCCCGTCCCGGGTGCGTAGGAGCACACATCGCGTGCGTCTTGTTGCTTCGATGTTCTCGTTACGTGCTAACTCGTCCACGAGGGCGACCGTCATAATATCCCCCTCGATGTTTGTGCCGGTTTACGCGCGAAACGGATAATATTGACCATTTTCACTAGGGGATCGACTAGGGAACACAGGCAGGCCGGTGCAGGGCCGAGAGAAACACCGCGCGCAAAATATCTGAGGATCGACCATCGTAAATTGGTCAGGTTGCGTTCCTCACGAGTTCGACGAGTCGCGGCGAGTTTCTGCTTCGCTCGCGGACCTGTGATCGCGCGGGCCTGTGCCGCCTATCTCGCCGACAATCTCAAGACCGACAAGACCGACCCGAGAGACGATTGCCTAACGATTGCCAAGCAGATTCGTATGCAGATTCCACTCGAGATCCCTCTTGTTCCCGACATCTTCGACTTTTCTGCATTATCGCGCGGTAAACATTACCGCACATAAATGTAGATTCACGGGCGTGAAGAGAGGCGTAGTGACCACCGCGTAACTACCGCGTGAGTAACGCGATATTGGATTGACGTCCGTCACCTAAGACGCAACTAAGCGGTTAGATCTCTCTTGTCACGTGAGGCGTGACATAACAGACAGCTATCTGTGCGACAGCTTCTAGAACGTCGCGCGACACGTCGTTACACGCGTATTATTAAGTCATCGGGCACGCGCACGCGACTTCATCTTGCTCTCCTCGATGTTGCACAATAACGCGTCATTCGACTAATATTCGACTTGCCGAGGCCGACGAGAAACAATATAAAATTTGGTTCCTCAATGGCACAAATAGAAAAAAGTGTCTCAAAGTGTGTGCAATTCCCCCGCACTCGATGAATATCTTACTTCGTAATGAAAAATTGCGTTGTGTCAGAAAAGTAGCGAGAAACTGGACACAACATCGAACTTCGTACAATTCGCACATTCTTCTCTTATAATGCATCTTACTTCATAGGCACAGTCGGCTAAAAGTCTCCCTCGCGATTCTCGTCTACACAACGGATGATCCTGTGACACGGGTGACCAAAGACTGAGGAAAGAAAGAAAATCGCGAGAGAGAGAGAGAGAGAGAGAGAGAGAGAGAGAGAGAGAGAGAGAGAGAGAGAGAGAGAGAGAGAGAGAGAGAGAGTGTGGGGCCTCGCCCCGTAGTTGTGAATTTAGTTCGGGCATCGAGAACTCGCGACGGAGCAAATTACGCACACATCGTGTTGTTTCTGTGTAGCAAATTAACTGATTTATTTCTCTGTTCAAAGTCATCGCATTGTGTGAGACGTGAAACAGATATTTCAATATCTGTATCTAATGTACGGTGTGGTGTTTCCTTTTAATGTATTAAAAGGCACAAAACGGAGGACTATCGCGCAAGACGATTACACGCGGGACGGTTTTCTTTCTTTCGATTTAGATCGTGGACTCGGTCGCCTCCTCGTGCACGGTTTCGCAGCTTTCGGTAGATTCGCTTTTAGATCTGAAAGAAATCACCAGATGAGGATCTCACTGTGTTTTGATTGAGGGTGAAGGAGAGGGCAGGAGGACGATGAGAGAACTAATGATGAGAGGATGATGGTGATAAGAGAGCTAATTGCAAGACGAGATAAACAGTAAGAAAAACCGTAGGAGAAATCGTAGGGACTGATTACTTTGGTGCAAACACATTGAAGCAAGTTCCGCCAAATTCCAAAATGCATGATAGGTCAGGATCGAGAGTCAAGAGCGCAGTCTGATTGGAAAATAGTGCATCTCTTATATAGCAGGTCTTGGAAAGTGGCGTATTACGAACAAACGGGCGATACGTGTAAATAAAATAAATATAAATTTCTTCCTGATATAACGTGCAACTAAAACTGATAATCCTCTAAAGTGGCACTATTCGTAATTAAACGATCTGCCTTTCTCTTTGTCTGCCCCCTCCCCTCTCTTTCTCACCCCCCCTCTCTCTCTCTCTCCCCTCCCCCCCCTCTCTCTCTCTTCCTTTCTCGTGATTGCCTGGGATCACTACAGTTGCGTATTTGTAAAAAACATTTGTATTACCTGAATCATTAGTACATGAATCCGATTTTTCGTCCGCAGAAAATGCATTGCGAAAATAAATTCACGATGAAAAACTGCGCAATTCTCGCCGAGAATCACGAGCAACTCGCTTTCTCTTTTCCTCTATCTCGAATTCCTCGAGGGGGAAGGTAATAGAAAATCAGGGTATAAAATCTACAACGTGCGAGCTGTTCCCTCTCGCAATGCTGTTTCCGACTGTGTGTGTATGTGTATGTGTGTGTGTGTGTGTGTGTGTGTGTGTGTGTGTGTGTATATATGACGTAAAATATCCGCCAAAAAATTACAATCTTCTACCACGACGAGACGACTCGCCGATAGCGAGCGCGATAAATCAACTCGAACGAATCAGCCTGATACACACCATGTATTTGCAAGAGCGTTGATTCGCCGTTACGTGTTATATGTTGTGCTTTCGTATACGAATAACGCACCTCATCACGCAATACGAAGAACAAACGCTGTTAGCGAGACTCGAAAGGCGAAAGAGCGTACGGCGACATACACTTTCCGGGTAGAGACCGAGAGGAAGCTCGTTCGCGTGCTGCGGTCAAGCAGCTTCCAAAAATCATGTGTGCGCGATAATCAGGACCCGCACAAGATACTCGGCCGTTCGTTCGCTTGCGGCGATCGCCCGAACAAATATTGTTGTGTGGCCAACAGCCACACCGGCTGGACAAACAATAGAATGTTTTCGGAAACATCGATAACACCGCGTTATTAAGTCCGACGAGTGAATCGATCAGCAAACATGAACCAGTGAATGCGGCACGAATATAAAGCATCTGAGGAAATGTGAATTATTTACAGTACGATCTGTCGAGTCTCACCACAATCATTGATTTCTCCTCTCGTCTCCCCCCTTTCTCCCCCCCCCTCTCTCTCTCTCTCCCTCTCTCTCCCCGTTCGCTCTTTTTTCCTATCTCTTCTTTTGATCTCGTCGTGCGCTCTTTTCGCCTCTCTCTCTCTCTCTCTGCCTACACTTGTCCACTTTCTTTTCTGCCTTTTCTCCTTTTCTCGCCCAATTCTATTACGCACGCTCCCGTTTTTCGCGTTTTCCCTCGGTTCATTTTCACCTCTCGCAATGTTCTCTACATTAAAATACCATTCCACGCTACAAGTCCTACAACGATACATCGTAAATATAATTAACTATAGTTCGAGACGCAGGATGTGCCGAATGGGCTAGGAAGAAGTAATATCCTCGGTCAATCTCGCAGTCAGACAATTAACGAATCCGGTTTTCGCACATCCGGATAAATTTTGCTATGGTCCTTGATATCGTTGATGAGATTCGTAAAACAACTGCTCGTGTAATCGCGACTGACAGTTGATTATAATCGAACAAGTACGCACGCGGCTCTCTCTCTCTTCTCTCCCTCCCTCCCTCTCTCTCTCTCCCCCCTCCCTCTCTCTCTCTCTCTCTTCCTTTCTCTACTCGGCTTCCCGTATATATTTATGTCCTTTCATCTTGAGGTAAATTTGACTCTATTTTTTTCAGGTTGATGATTGCAATTGTCAGTAGCTGTAATAAGACCTCATGTTTCATAGAAAAGATGAGCTACGTAGACTAAAGGACACGCGTCGTGTTATACAAATCGGCTGTTCCAGCGGATGCATTTTCAAATGTATATCGAGGATCATTAATTCCCCGCCTCATCATTCTCACATCTGCCTAATTACATACACACTCGATTCTTATTGTATTATTATTAGTCTGGCTGCCAAACGTATCGACCGAATCGTAATCGTTCAATAATCGTACATGTACATGTGTGTGTAAATACATGCATCACAGTGGTATCGAACGTTGCGGTTCGGTCAATTACGATTCGGTTGTGTGTGTGTGTGTGTGTGTGTGTGTGTGTGTGCGCGTGTGTGTGTGTGTGTACATACATACATATATATATATGTATGTATACACACACACACACACACATATATATATATATACATATATGTATATTGTTTTAAATCGGACGCACAAAAGTGCCCACGGCTGTCAAGCCGGGAACTTTCTCACGCAAGAGTCGAACTCTTCTAAATTGATTTTCACTCGACGAGCTCGACGAACTCGACAAAAAATCACTCGCATTTTCCACCTCGTTGCCCTGATGTACGATCGCTCGGCAATTAGATGATTACCGGCGAATTGATTCACTCGAAACGACCCCAAAATAACCTAATTTTATAATTATAGTTAAAAATAGAAATGTTAGAGATGACTAGAGAAAAACACAAAAAATTCGACGAAAGATAGTGAACATATTTTATCGTTTCTCTTTTTTTCGATAACACGGTGAAAGCCACCCCGGGCGAATCAATCCGACGAGTATACTAAGGAATTATCTACTTATATATTGTCGGGTGTAATAAGAACGGCTCGCGCTTCCGCAGTGACTACGCTCCCCCAAAAGGGGGAGAAGTCGCTATATCGTTTACGCTATTTACCAATGGCTGTGGTTCCTCTTCATCTTGTTTATACGAGTAGGCACTTGTCTATGTTTCTGCATTCTTGCTTGTATAATGTTATTACGTCTATTGTACAGGACGATAGTACAAAAGATGTGTCGGCTTCTACTATACGTGGCCCAACCGACACTGATCCGGAGGCTCGCGAACGCGTCTGTTGCTCTGAGCAAAATGAGTCAATGACGATATATCGCGCGTGTGGAAACGCATATTACTATGCTATGTTACATTGATATTTCATATTAATACAGTTGCGCAACAAATGAGATATTTTGTTCGTGCAATAGGGAGCAGACGAAAATTCTCAATGAGTCGAGAAACGACATCCTCCGCGACATCGAAAACATTCTTCTCGTATTCAGCTCGTACTATTAAAACTCGTTTGTACTTACGACGACAAATAACATTCGACTCGTTAGATTTCTCCTATAGGAATTTTTTTTCTGTTTTTACAACTGTATTTTCCTTCCGATCCCCTATTCTTCCCAGACAACTAAAGAAAATTCAATTGCATGACGATGAAATTGTTTTCTCCATAGGGCAAGAGGAAGAAATAATGTGTAAAATATCGTACTAACAAATATGTTTGTGTATGTACGGTCATAATGGCTTGATGCGGGCCTCGCGATCAACATCGGTACCGTTTGCAACACACTCTTTTCCATTCACTCCGACTCACACACATGCATTTCCTCCTCCTCCTCCTCCTCCTCCTCCTCTTCTTGTTGCTTAGTGTCCTCGCACGCATCACATACGCACACGTATTTCGGAGCGCACATCAATTTTGGAACTTTAAATTAGCACCGTGTTGTCTTCGTAATCTGTGAACTTTCGTGAACGTGTATCTCACTTCCGGAAGCTTTGCGCGATCGTCATTAACAGGAAGGAGATTCGAGTCGGTCTACTGTCACTCATCCGTGTTTTTTTCTTTCCTTTTGTTTTCGTTCTTTCTCTCTTCCTTCCTCCCTCCCTCCCCCCCTCTCTCTCTCTCTCTCTCTCTCTCTCTCTCTCTCTCTCTCTCTCTCACTCTTTCGTGCAGTGGAAAATTGCGAATTTCGGAACTGTGCGAACTCTGTGCGCGAGTGTTGTATCTCAAAGTTACATCTCGATTCAACTCAAAGACGCACGAAGAACGGTCGAAAGATCGAAGGTTTCCCGCGTAACGATGGTGGTCGTGTGGTGACACTCACAGATTCGCAACTAGTCTTCGCGGTATGCCGACGCGATATGTAAAGCACGATAATTACACTTACATAAATAATATCTCGATAAAAATTAGTCAACAGTGGTATATCTCAGTGCGTAAAGTTAAAAACGTGTCGACACAATAGAATACTGCATATCCCCTCGAAAATTCGATATCGTGTTCCGCGCAGAGTGTCTCCTTTGCGTTCTCCTTTACTTGCGCTCCCTCCCTTCCTCCTTTCCTCCCGTGTGTTCACTACTTTACTCTTTCTTTCTCTTTTATTCTCTAAATTCTCCATGCACTACTCGTATTTCTCACTATTACGTATTGTTTCGCGTTTAAAACGTTATCGCGCGGCAATGAGCTCTGCCGCGACGCGCAGAGGGGAAAGCTTCGTTGGAAGATCATGCTCCAACAGCAGTAACGTACAAAAGTAAAAAATACATCCTAACGCCCAATGGCGCCTATCTTTCTCCGAGATCATCACGCGAGACTTCCCTCGAATTTGCGCATCCTTTCCTTCTCCACCTCCCCCCCCTGCCCCTCCCTCCCTCTCGTCCGCTTTTCGTTCGCGCATCTTTGGATTGGAACACGATCTGACAAGTCTTTCTCTCGCAAGACGACTTATATAAAAGCACGACTTAAGACTTATGGGCCTAACGCGTTTTACTCGTTCGTATTCTACTTGCTCGTCCGTTCTCCTAGAAAGCCATCTAGACGTAAGTCAGTCTTTGTCAAACGCCCGATGCATACGCATAGCATTACTTAATTGGGCGATGAGCTGGAATTCGCGTTTTTCTACTAGAGGTTTCGCTGTAACCCCCCTCTCTCCCTCCCCCCCCGTCTCTTTTACCCCTCTTTTTGTAGCGATTACTTCGTCACTGAACTTTCGAAGTTTCCTTTCTGTTCTTTTTTTCTACAGAAAAATTGGTATCTTATACGGCACGGTGTTTCAAAGCAGAGTTAAAAAGTTCTGTCGAAAAAGTGACATTTCATCATTTCATCACGTCCGAAAATATTTTCGCACGCGTCCTGCGTTGCCGCTACCTACGATTTTCATCGCCGAACGAAACGTCTATGTAATTTCGCAACTTCTAGCATCTTCTTCGTCGATCGTCGATCAAACTTGCAATTCGAGAAAGGAAAAGAACGAAAAAATCAGGTGTGATACACAGTAACGAGAAACTATTTCGCGATAGGCATGGTGTGTGTGTATGTGTGTGTGTGTGTGTGTGTGTGTGTGTGTGTGGGGTGTGTGTGTGTGTGTGTGTGTGTGTGTGTGTGCACGCGCGCGCGCGCGCGTGTATTGGTCGATTTTTCTGCACGACCGTGCCTAAGATACAACGTAATTCAGTTTCGAAGCGTAAGGGTTTTGCAGCTAATATCTCGTAGGATATTGCATCAGGAATGTCTCGTTGTAGAATGAAATGATCGTCGATTCTGCGATTTGTCGCCGCGATAGATCAGTCAGATTAAGTATAAAGCTGTTGTACGAATTAATCGGTAGCTACATCAGAAATCTACGGCATCCCGAGAGCGGTGATGTCCGCCAAACGTATACTGACACGTTGTGACGAAAAAGAATAAGTAAATAAAAAAATATATCTTACTCATAGCCCAACGCGATGAAAAGGTCAAACGAGATTGTCAATGTGAATGGAAAGAAAAAACATCTCTGAAACACTTTCGAAATACGTAAAACTGGCAAGGGTGTGCCGCCCGTCAATGCGCGCACGTTGATCCGACACGTTGATCCTAGTATGGATGTTTCTGTACTTTTTTCTTTTCTCTCTTTCTTTTGATGTGTGACGACAGAAGCTCCAGTCCAATCGGCAAGTGATTCAAAAGAGAAAAGAAAAACAACAAGTCCATCGTTTTTGTCTACAAACTACAATAAAATGTTTTAACCATTTCTAGACGTAACGCGATTATATCCATTTAACGCTACTAAGATAAATCGGATGCTTATCGACGCTAATGATTTTGGTACCCTGAAGTATCACTAACAGTAAGTCTAGGTTGTTCAGAAACGGTTCGTCGAAAATTACAGAAATGCGACCTATACGAATCATATATACGATCCCTTCTTGCTCCCCGTTTCCGATATTTAACTGAGTAACGAGAAGAATCTATTTACGGAAAATAACAATATAGTCAATGTCTCATCCGCCTGGATATCTCTTAACGGAGAGAACAGGGCTGCGATTGACTTTTCACGATTGAGCTCTATGCATCCGTGATTCGTGTTCTGTTCCTAAACATTCTTCCCGATACGAGTTCATGGTCGCCGCTATAATGTACGAACAAGAAGATCCCGAAATTGCCAGATTGTTCGGAGTGCAACCCGACATGCAAAACGACACGCGTGTGTGTGTGTGTGTGTGTGTGTGTTTCCATAGATATGAAAAAAATTAAAAAAATTACATCTTAACAGGAATTAAGAGCCGTGACAACAAATAGCATTTCGTGCACTTCTTATTCTTTCGCTGCATAACTGCAGTCGCATAAGCATGCGTGTAAAATAGTCTATTCGTTTCTTCCTTTCTTTTAATCGACTTTCTTTTAAGTGAACTTAGCGGAAGTATTATTAGTGAAAGAGTACCACACGTATACACGAAACGTAATGACATCCTTGAACGTTCATATCAGATCAGTATTAGCGCAAATACACCTAATTCAGAGAATGCCGAAGCGTCACTCAGATCTGGCGTACTTTCTGATATTTTTGGTACTCTCTCAACAAGTAAGTCACAATGTAAAAATATAAATCGAAAGTCCATCCGTTCTCCTCGTCGTCGCGTCCGTTTGCGATTCTCTCACTTTAGCAGCATGTATTAAAAAGGCGACACAAGATCCGTCTCTCCAGCGATGTCTCTCTGTGTCCTATCGTTCACACTTTCCCTTATTGTCCCGACGATGGAGATACAGTTTAGTTTGGCGCGTTAGACGCGCGTTGATTGTACTGCCGATTGTATGTGGCACGGAAAATGCTCGTCTCTTTAAATTAAATTATTTCACTTCCTTGTACTAAGGCGCGTTTTCAGTCGAGATCCTGTTCGATCCTGTTCGATCCTGATCGAGATGTTGTTAAGAAACTTGTGGAATCAGAACTTTCCCCGTCGTCAAGAACGGTAACCTCCCTCGATCGTGCTAGTCGTCTAAATGTTGCTGACAATTCGAAAAGTTCATATGCCTACGTACGATACCCTTCCTTTTCAAAACACGGCACGATAGATCTAACTACGCATGTACAGGTAATAGCCACCCAATATGATGCCCCCCCCGATCCCGATGCATATGCCTATTGTAAGTGGCTTGCATAATGACCTCTTGAACTTCTGCCAATTTTCGCAATCCCTCTGCCGGCGTTTCATATCGCGCACTTGCGTCGCTAATCGTTCGTTCTTCTCCGCCCGTTCTTCCCGTCTGCGTCTGCGCACCGTGTCCCTGTTTGGAGAGCACACGAAGACGATTACAAGTCGATTTCTCGATATACTGATGTAGCTCAACAAGTAGCTCGTAGAGGACTCGTCATCGGAGACGTTACTCACAGATCACACGAAAAATCCAACGGGGAGGAACGATCTTCGGAAGAGTCGTCAGACACGACTTCAGCGAGCAACGGGACGCTGTGTTCCTCTAGAACGTCTGTGACGGACGTGGAAGTTGTAAGCGGTGGGCTCGTGCATGGTTCCGTGTAAGTTGGTGGTTCGCTCGGCAGCGGTTTGTCGGGTGGCCCACCTAATTCGTGATCTGTGGTAATGGTGAGAGCTTGATAACCTTTTTGCATCGGTACAAAAGTAATCTGGAGCTTACTACTACGTGAGCGATAAGCAGTAAAATACCTGCGTCTGCGTGCAATTTCTCCAAGCTTGTATCCGTGATCGCGACACTGCGCGTTAAAGATTCCGCTCTCGGAGGCGGCAGAGGAGGAGGCTCGTCGTCTTTCTCCGACGGAGGGTGATTTATAAAATTATAATTATTTATCACGTCGTTGACGTCGTCATCCTCTATAGTTCTCGGCGAAGCTGTCTACAAAGATCGGCGAAAGCCGATTAGGCCGACGATTAGGCTCGGTTAGTTAGCAGGTGTTGGAATGGGTGTTTCCCTAGACCATCTCCCTATCGGACATCCTCTTTCGGAAGGTAACGCTTGACAAAGTGCAGCGCAGTTTTGTAGAGGAGAGACGAACGCGAGAGAGGAACGACGAATTTTTCGAAGTCGTTCGATAAAACAAGAGGGCACTCGACAGATGTGAGCGATCATCGTCGTAAAATTGTTATACTCGAATATACAGCAAACTGACACCGATATTAGATAGCACTGCGCTACTGCACTGAGCATTAGCATTAATTACCACGTTATTTAGCGGCAACTGTTTAGCCCCCTCAATGATAGCAGCGTACGAGAAGCGCAGTTGATCCGGCGTTTGTATCAGACCCATACGATACTTTCTCATTTCCAGCAGCACATCCCGCACACTCACGGAATTCAATCCGTTTTCTTCAATCTGTAATCGTAAAACAGTTGAGCGAGCGCGGCTAATGACATATCGTAATATCGGTCGCTCTCGATCTGGAATTCGCTCGTCTCGACGATACGTACCAGCACTAAGCATGTATCAACCAAACAAAATGTTCCCGACCTTCCGATACCTGCGGAACAATGGACGACGGGTGGACCGGCATTTTGATCTAGTACTCCTGATTGCCTGACGTCTGCCAAGAAACGTAAAAAGGCCGTTGGGCATTGCGGTACTCCAAAGTCTGGCCAAGTGGTATAATGAAAATGTAAGATTTCCCTACTATCGTTACTTTCCAAGTCCGTTATACTGCAGATAAGTTAAAAACATTGGAAACGGTCCATAACGATTTACTGGCAGAAAATTAAGGATGATCGCCAAGTATAGAGCGAAACTTTCGATGAGAGGATGGTACAACAACGCAACACACAACTGCATATCATGCGTGTCTTTACCGTAACGTTCTGGTTGTGTAGTCCGACGATTCTACCTTGCTGACATATTTCACCTTTATACCGACGTCGTCGAACGTCATGACGGTATCGCCCGTGTCTCCCAACGGCCAGTATTGGTGGCATTTAACTTGATTCTTTTCGATTACCTTGTTCAGCATCAATACAGCCTTGCAATTTTGCTCCCATACCATTAGCCACAAGTGGCCGGCGGTATGCGGTAAGGGTCCTTGCGTCAGGATATAATGTCTCTTAGCACGATCCACCTAACGTACGGACGAAAACAATATGTACACTCGTCTCTAATTGTTACTTCGACTGTTTAAAGCTGTTTACAAATTGTCGCTCTCTCGCGATATACTCACCGGTATGTAATTGGCATGGATGTAGTCGCACACGCCTCTCTTGAGTATAACTCTACTGTGATCGTACGGCGCCACGTCCCTGTAGCGATTCAAATTTTTGTTCTGTGGCTTTTTTGATTCGTTACATGCGAGCAGATAAGCTCCAGTCACACTGCGTATATGCTGGAAAATATTAATCACTAATTAAGTATCAAGACGCATACAACTGGCAAACAGTGGATAACAGGTCCCTTTTCTCTTTTTTCTGAATATAAACGTTCAAAAGTATTTCCACAACAGTACAAATATTCTACTGTTTTGTACTCTAATACATATTAATACAGACTGAATTCACTTACACTCATTCACATTTCATTCATATTTTATTCGTTTCCGTTTAGCCATACGTCTCTCATGCTCAGGTATGATTCTGATGACGAATTATACTTATATTTAGAATCATTAGTATATACCTGGTAGTATGTACCAACATTCAAAGTCGTTAGTTTATATTCGGAGCTAATCCCAAAGATAATTTCTCA